GAGAGAGAGAGAGAGAGAAAGAGAGAGAGAGAGAGAGAAGGAGAGAGAGGGAGAGCGAGAGAGAGTATTTTATAATATATGTATATGTTTTCTATGTTTTAAAGTAAACGTTTTTATGCTCCCATCGACACAATTTGGATCATTTAGGAGGCGGGCTGCCAACCCTGCCTGTAAAGGCCAATCCAGACTGAGAGGGACACAACATCCCGCAGAAAGACCGAGATTTTCCATTAAAAAAGCTCATTCCACTAGGGAATCGAACTCGGGTCTCCTGCAGGCACCACAGAGACACGTTTATGTATTGCATTGTACAACGTATAAGAAATTGACTTCTTAATCCACCCGACCACTCCACCCCCTCCCCACCATTCCCCTTTACGGGAAACCAGAGTATGATGAATAAAGGGCTGTAAAGGTTTGGATCTCTTCTGCTCCCCTTGAATATCCAAGGTATTAATTAGCAAACTGCGCAACACTTGTGGGGAGGGGGGGGGGTTGGGTTTATGAATGGAGAGACATTCGATTCGTATTGACGCTATCAAAAGTATTCAGTAGTAGTATAGGGTTTTACGGCGCTCTCAACTACTAAAGTCATATGAGCGCATCAAAAGTATTCGTGTCACGACACGATGGAATCAGGCACTCGTCAATTTTTTAGCATGTGTATGGATTTAGTGGTCTCAGTTTAAAGCTTGTTCATTTTTCTCGCTTTCAATTTTAAAAAATTGTCTATCTATTTTCAATAGAAGTTGAGATGTTTTGGATAGAAACAGGTGAGGTCACTTGGATTCAGATGTAACATTAGAGAAGAAATGGCCGCCAAAGTTTGGCTCCTTCCAAAGCTTGAGAGTCCTTCCAAACTGTAAATTTATATTTTTGTGTGCCTTTTATCCGCATTTTTCAGTAAAATCCACAAAGCAATGTGTTTTTCAATAGACATAAAAGATGATGAGTCAAAAAATAAAAAACTTCAATAAAAATTGCCAATATAAGAAAAATGCCGTTTCTTCATTTGATTATTTTTACGACCGCCTGATTTCACAACGATGCCTCAAATTTGTTTATTTTATGAAGCAGAAATCCCCGCTGACTACTATCTTCACTGTTCACGAATGTCTCCATTTTTGCTTTGGAGGAAAAACTTGGCATTGGAACAATTTTTTTTTCCAAACAAAATGAGTTGCATTTGTTTTGTTTTTATTCAATACCTGCTACAACGTTGTTTGATTTACCACCTCGGAAAGTTTTAAATATTTGATGCTTTAAAAGCATCTTG